AGTCTTTTATTTGTAGAGAGAATAAAAGAAGGAAAAATTTAAAAAAAAGAAAGTAAAAATAATATTAAAAAAAAAAAAAAAGAAAAAAACTAAAACTAAAAAAAAATATATAATGAAAGAAAAATTAAAAAGAAAACAAAAGGCAGAAGAGATAAATATAAAAAAAAAAAAAAACAAAACAAAGAAAAAAACTTCTATAAGCTGACCAAACTAAAGTGAGTTAGTCATGGCAAAAAAATATCGAGATCACGCGATCAATGATCTCTTCCGACCTCTTTGACGCAGCCCGATAAATCATTTGTTACACAAAAAAATATATCAATATATTTATTATTAATAATAATTATTATCATTATTATATGCTAATAAATCCTATTATATGCTAACAAATCCTATTATATGCTAATAAATCCTATTATATGCTAATAAATCAGTATATGTAAAATCGAGTGGTTTAACACGTTAATTAATATTAGTAATAAATACAATCATACACTAATAAATCGGTAATGATAATATGTAAAGAAAAATGAAAATTTATATTTTACAAAGGATTAAATATTAATCAACATTTAATAACACACTAATACTGTAATATATAAAGACAAAAATTTGTATTGTAATTTTAGTATAGTTATTGTAACTTTAATATAGTTAAAATTAAAGTTACATAACACATTTACATCAGTTTATATGAAGGCGAAAGCTTGTAAAATTTAAACTAATTTAAACTAATTTGTTATATTATTAAAAAAATAAAGTATCGCTTTCGAAATTTATTAAGCTTGAATAATGCCATATCAACTTAAAGTAGTTATAGTATACACGGACTTCTATAAATTAGCCTTCTGCGAAAGTTCTCTATAAATCATCTAAAATCTCTAAATCATTTTTCACTAAAATTTTCAAATTGACTCTATTTAATAATGTCTACTAACAATTCAACTCACGACTCTTTTAACATTCTAACTCACAACTCTAATGATAATAAATAATGCTCTCACTGCCATAAGTTCAAATTAGTTACTGAATTTATAAGACGCAGCGAAAGTGATATTAAAACATTTGGCACATGTAATAACTATACTGAAAATGATAAAATAAAAAAAAGAGAAAAATGGTTAAGAGACAAATCACCTGACACAATTGATGATAGAAGAAATATTTCATCTATTCTTCCAAATGTTAAAACGCCTACTAATACAAGTGATAGTGAAAGTAGTGATGATGATCTGATTTATAATATTAGCGATCTCGAAGAGTTTATAGCCATCAAATTTAGAGAGTATGAAGAGCTGAGTACCAACGTTGAGTTCTTAGTAATAGTAAAAATTGAAAAAGAAACAATAGATAATGAAATTTTGTTCTTGAAACCTGGTCAAGATATAGATATTAAAAAATTTTATATTATAGCCAAGATGTTGCTCATACCTCTCCAAGAGGGATCTGGATACTATTGGGAAATTCAAAATCTATACCCTAATATAAAAGATGGTCAATATATAGGATGTGCAACAGCTCGTCTATGCTGCACTCAAAGGTAAGATTGGAATCTGTTAAAAATGTTATTAGCAATAAAGTTATACAAGTTAATTTTTTGGATTACATAAAACCTGGATGCCATGTGAGAACCAAAAAATTAGCTTATATTAAAATTTTGCAAAATTTTGATTAGTTGGGTTATGAGATTCAATTAAGTTTTGTATATAACTAATTTAATTAATTTTAAATTTGTTATTGAAAGAGCTGATCGTAAATATAAAAGTCCAAGTAACCAACCTGCAAAACATATAAGCGAAGCACAACCTGCTATTCAATGTTTCTCGTATGAGGGTGTTATAAAAATTAAAATAGATTTGTGTGAGCAAAAAGCAATGATATCTAAAACATTTGGCTCATGAACGTCTGACATATAGGGAAACTGAATGTATACAAGGTGCTTCTTATAAAAGTTTCTAAATCAATGCTGCAATAGAGAATTGTGATAAGGATTACTTCTTCTCTATAACATAGAGCCCTCTTTTTCTAATCACGCCAAATTTGTGTATCTAGATTTATCTGTTCTTGCAGATAAAAAAAAGGCACGATTTGGTAATGTTGATTACCACTATATTCGAAGGCCAAACCTAGCTCTTCATTATATCCATCTA